ATAAATCCAATTTTCCTAGATCTTGGTCTGTTGCAATGCGATAACCCCAGGGTGATCATCCAAAATTCGATGGTTTTCATCGTGCTTCAAAGTGACCTATTTCGACCAAGAGTCGACCGGTCACTTTAACCACCTCAAAAAGGTCACTTTGAAGCACCTGGGGACCTGGAATCACCACACGGGTTCGCCTGAAAATACCCCAAGAACTCATTGTCTCTATTATGAAGTTTCCATTTATGGGTATCCCCCATTTTCAGACACACCCACCTGTGATTGTTGGATGCCACAGTTAAACAACACCTCAGACTTCGAGGGAAAACGCTACTGGAAGATTTTGGATGACATTTGCATCGCCGTCTCCACATTGTTCGCGACGGCACTCGGAGAAGCGGGCATGACCTACTGTTTCTTGGGCCATATTTTTACTGGTGCTTCGTAGGGAATGGAGGAATGGGATTATGATTGGTAGTAGTTATGGATTAGGTCATTCCCCCATTCCCTACTAAGCACGACCCAGTATTTTTGCAAAGGGATTCATCTTGCTGTACCACAGAATCAGAATGACACATATCATGAGCATAAAATTAGATTTATTAAAATTACTTTGCTTCGTGTGATCCCCACCATGACATTTATACATTTTGTTACTGGCAAATCTTCTGGCATTCTATCTGACATATTTTCTGGCATTCGATCTGGCATTCTATCTGGCATATCTTCTGGCATTCTACCTGGCATATCTTCTGGCAGATGTTCTGGCATATCTTCTGGCAGATGTTCTGAAATATCTTCTGGCATATCTTCTGGCATATGTTCTGGCATATCTTCTGGCATTCCATCTGGCATTCTATCTGGCATATCTTCTGGCATATTATCTGGCAAATCTTCTGGCATTCCATCTGGCATTCTAGCATATCTTCTGGCATATTATCTGGCAAATCTGCTGGCATTCTATCTGGCAAACATTCTGGCACTTTATCTGGCATATCTTCTGGCATTCTAGCTGACATTCTATCTGGCATTCTATCTGGCATACCTTCTGGAATTCTATCTGGCATATCTTCTAACATTCTATCTGGCATATCTTCTGGCACTCTATGTGGCATATCTTTTGGCGTGGATACTCGCGGTTGAGGTCCGGCAGGGAACACTGGGCGTGGATGGTCGTGGTTGAGGTCCGGCAGGGAACACTGGATGTGGATGGTCGTGGTTGAGGTCCGGCAGGAAACACTGGGCGTGGATGGTCGTGGTTGAGGTCCGGCAGGGAACACTGGACGTGGATGGTCGTGGTTGAGGTCCGACAGGGAACACTGGGCGTGGATGGTCGTGGTTGAGGTCCGGCAGGGAACACTGGGCGTGGATGGTCGTGGTTGAGGTCCGACAGAGCCCACTGTGGTCGAGGGTCGCGGTTGAGGAGGAGGAGAGGAGAGGAGGAGAAGGAGGAGGACGAGGACGAGGAGGACGAGGAGGAAGCAACTGACATAAAATCTAACAACCCTCACCTGGCAGGTGGGGAAAAAAAATATAAACATGGTTTCATTCAGACAAGGAAGAATAATGTTGGTAGACATACCAATATTATACAATTAACATAGAACATATCATGTGATGGCATGAGGCCAAGGCTATCATACATCCAAACCTTTTGAAATTAACTCAGGTTGTGCCACGGACCACTCCTGGGGACCCAGGAATTCTTCAATATATGGGGGTTTCCTAAAATAGTGGTACCCCCAAATCATCCATTTATAGATGGATTTTCCATTATTCTCGCCATATATATATATATGAGCAGGGACCCCCACACCCCCCCCACCCAGCCAGATGGTTCCCCCCCCCTGTGGCAGGGGAGGGGTGGTTTTCTCAGCAGCCAAGCCATGGTGTATGTAGTCTTTATAGTGCATATAATGCATATGTATCAATAATTAGAATGGATATACTATATGTAATATAGAGTGTTATGTGTAGTGTATATATATATAAACATAAATATAATATGTAAGATATAAATAGAATATATGCAATCTATATATATATAATATATATAAATATATATATATATGACATATATATATATTGAACATATATATATATATACATATATACATCGTATATGTGGTTTTTGATAGAATATAGATAGTATATGCCACATGTACTGTATCCACAGTAGATGTAATATATACAATATAGGTAAATATGTTCGTTGAATAAATTTTACATAGTATATGTGGTATATTGAATATCGACAGCAATACACGCTGTATATCTAGAGTTTATGTATATATGTATATGCATATGTATATATACATATATATATACATATATATATATATATACATATATATATACGTGTACAGTATGTACAATGTAAAAGAAATATGTGATAGATACAAGATCAAGATATCAATCTGTAGTATCTAGAATGTGCATATATATATATGTATTTATTGTTTTTCTACTGTACATATGTCTAGGTTTGCATAGGTAAGCTTTGCGTAATCCATAGGTTAAATATGTTGTAAACCATGTGCGAGGCACGCTATAGGCGGTTCGAAAAAAAGGTTATGATAGAAGTATACAGGTAGACAAGGTCCGTTGACGAGGTCGTGGCTCTCAAGTGCTGCAAATAACATAGAGATGCGAGGTTGGAGGGGTGGAAAGGGGAGTATATATATATATGTGTATATGTGTATGTATATGTGCAAATAACATGCAAATACTAGGTTTTGGGGGGGTGGGGGGGTTAGGAGTGGGGGGGGATACCATTGGGGGGTGCGGGTCCGGGGACCGGGCTCATATATATATATATGGGGCTACCACCATTCCAGGAAACCCCCATGTTTAATCATATATGTATAATTCTGTATATATATAGTTATATATACATATTATATATATATATATTATCATTGTATTGGCAGTCTCTTTGAGTTGGGAAGCCCTAATTTGTTAAGTTCCTAAACGTCATTTGTTGGAGGATGTAGGATGTACCCACCAATGAGACACTGTTCATGCCGGCAACCAAAATAGGTCGTAAATGATGATCCAAGTGTGGCTATGCCTCACCAGCTTCGTTCCCAGTTTTTTTTGTCCAGAACACTCAGTCATTGACTGGATTAGGCGTTATTTTGCTATATCGTTTACATTTAAAAAATTGAACATATTGAAATCCAGAGTTGGTTCAACTGCTGTTTTTCATGGCCGGCTCTCGGCGAGGCATGTTCGCGACAGAGGGCAGCTACGCCATTTTGACGAGGGTCACTCAGGCAGGAGAATGGGGCATGGATGGAGAGAGTCTCGGTTGTGCCTTTGTTTAATAAGAATCTCAAGATTATGATCTTAAGACAGAGAAACCATGCGAAAACTTATTAATAATGATTATCAAATTTTCTCCCGGATTGCTTCTGAATCAAAGTCTTCAAAACATCTTCTCAGACATCTCTGGCGAGCCGATTTATTGTTTAAAAAAGTTTAGAGATGTTGAGAGTGGGAAGAGAAGTGGGTCACTGACTTTAGGGATGGCGTTAAGCCCGCAAAAAGATCAAAAATATAACCCTTAAAATAGTGACAAATTATATACTGTATGCTATCCTTTTTGGGGGTTGCTATATGGAAATATATATATGGAATATTCGTCCGTCGGTCCATCGACATTTTAGGGAAACCATTCACCAAGGTTTATTCACCACAATGGATAATTTTTTCCAGCCCTATGAGAATGTGGGAATTACCGGTTCCTGTAAGGTTCCACTAACCAATCCATTGAGATTTAGCAGTCCAGATTGGCGTTCAGTCACTTAGTAACTGGGATGGGTTAAGTTTGATCCCTTTTTGTAGAGGATTATTTCATCTAGCTTCTTCAAGTGGGCATCTAAGCTGACTCATAAGTTTGAAAAAAAAACACTGATTTCAGCGAAAGATCATGATTATTTTCTGGGGATCTAAGTTTCTGTCCATTTTCCATGGTCCTTTACTACTACACTTTAAGCGCATGTATCGTGACGTCCCTTTGAAGCAGCTGTTAAGCCGCTGGGCAAGGCGTATTCCTTCCTCTCTGGAAACTTGATGGTCCACTTCAAGTCGCAGATGGCTTTGAGCCCTGGCCCACGGTCACCATGCCTCAAAAAGGCTGGTGAATGTCCGAATTTTCGCCCCAAGAAAAGATGAAACAGTTTCTTTTTACATTTTTTTTACCACTCCAGTAGGTTTGACTTGTCTATCGTTTTTGGGGTTTACCATTATACATTAGTGTATCATAGTTTATCTCTCATTTTCAATCGAAAATGCTGACAAGTAGTAACGTCACCTAAAATTTCTAGGTAAATTGCGTTTTTTGAACCAAAAATGTGCAAATAGTGGTCCGTTGCTGAAAATTGGTTTATGTGTCTGGGCAAATTGTAGTGGCCTCACCGTTCTCCCTCGCTAGAATTATGGTTCGTAAGGGGAATCATCCCCATATAGCCTTATTTCATCTTATTTCAGGATGGTGAATTATTATGATTTTGATGCAGGAAATATAAGGGTCGGCTTTAGTCAATGGATTCATCGTTCCATGGTTCGATTGGTGTGGGCACAACGATGTGCCGTTGCGGCCATAATAAGTTGTTTCTAACCATACCTGATCCTGCTCGCTATGGTATGTTATCGTAGTGCTCCTTTCTAATATTAAATACCTAACCGAAACCCTAGTGAAATTCATTGGATCTATATTTATTTTGGCACAATTTGGGGTGGTATTGAAGTTTCGGATGTGACTACTTGTATGTTGTAGTATCCCAGCTCCAAGTACATTTGGCTACAACTAAGTTTTCCGCACAACATGCCAAAACAAAGCGGATTTACTTTAAGTTTACACTCTGAGAGGTAAACTCTGGCTGGTGTTCAGCCAAAACAGATTTTGTACAACAAACCGATGATGACTTTTCCCGGTGGCAAGCCGCAAAGGCCTGAGATAGGTATCAAGATGTATCAAGGTGGCTTTTCTCTACATGTTTCCAGGATTTAACCAGCAACAACTTGTCGACCGAGATCACGGAGATCCAAAAAAGGATGGCTAGGTCCAAATGGGAGGCCCAGTTGGCATCATTTCACCAGCAAAACTGGAGGATTCTACAAAAGAGCCCCCAAGTTTTTGAACATATACCTTTTAGTGAGATATTTTTTCATATGCTCATCTAGATGATAGGTATTTTTTAACTGTTTAAACTGATGTTTTGATTTTGGAGATACACCAACTAGACATCGTAATAGACTCACTTATATAATAGTAGATAGTATGTACACATTTTATAATGTATATATATATCTATCTATCTATATATGCACAATAGATGCGCAACTTTTTGTTTAAATAATCTCTGCCCTCAGCATTGCTTCAGGAATATCCTTTGCCTGTGTTCTGGGAACTTGTTCACGGACCGGTCGGGTGGCACCAAATTTACGCAAACTTCCACTGAATCCGGATGTGTTTTTTGCATTTTCCAGGCTTTGGCTGTGGGGAAATGCTGATGTAAGTTTTTTGCGTAGGTCTCTGGGAATCTTTGGGAACTGGTACCCAGCACTATTCAGTAAGATACGTTGGCTAAAATGAACTGAGTGTGGAACCTGTGTTGTCCGAAAAAGTCGTGATCATCCCCAGAAGTGCAACATGTTTTGTTTTTTCCAAAGATTTTGGCATGTCCAGCAGTCGCATTAACCAGTTATGTAGGGTGGAGAGCCCCGAAAATATGGAAACATGGTGAGTTCAACTAAGAAACATCATCAAATTCTGTGATACCCTATTTTCAACAGTATTGGGCAGTTTCAAAGACCCCAGTTACTTTTGTTTGTTGTTTTTTGTTCAGTGACTTATACCTTTTACATTAGTTGGGGGTTATTCAGGTTATTCCGGCAATATCTGCTCCAGTATCTCCCATCCATCAATGGAATATCCAATATTTACATTTGATTTTCCCAGCTATAAAACCCCCCATTGATAGGGGGGGATTTCCCAGCTAGCCACATTTGAGGACCCCGTTTCCAATCAGATTCTGACTGCACTGCACCGCGCTTTTTGGTGAGGGCCAACTGGATAGAAGCAGCAATGATTCACCAGGGAATCACTGATATAGAGGTACCTATTCAATTTCAGAGAAAGCCCTATATTTGTTAACATCATTACACATTAAAGATTATATAATTATTTGTATATATTTTATGTTTAATTACAATCAGCCCTTTCAGATACGGATTTCCATACTGAGACAATTCCTACATTGAGTAGACCTTTAGTATCCCAGTCATATTGCGCAAAATTCGTATCGTGGAACTTCAAGACTTTGGCTTTTGAAGATGGAAGCTGAATTGAAGTGGCTCAACTCAACTGAGCTGAGGTTCATAATTTGCCGCACCGCCGCACCGATTTTTCTGGGCTTCAACTGTTTTGAGGGTATTCCATTTAGGGGCGACAACATCCTGAACGATGAAACGACATCCAAATCAAATGTATGAAATTTGAAAACGGAAACTACCTGCAAAAGGCTCAGGTAGATGTGTTGGGAGCTAGCGTTGAGGTGTGGGCTGACTCCGCGGCCGCCACAAGGATTGCCAAAACATTCTCTTTTTAAGACAGCAATAAGCAAACCAAAATGGCTGAAAAGAACCTTGTTCAGCCGCAATTCTCTAAAGGTCTGCATCTTGACAGTAAACTTGTCTCTTGGAAATCCCACGTGATCTGAACGACATCTGAAACGACGTTTGAACGAAATCTGAACGACATCCAAACCCGTCATAGGTGACCACGGTGTCATATGCCCAACTTGTTTTCCTTGTTTTGCATGTTTTGCAAACGTATAGGTAAAGGTAAAAAAAACGCAGAATCAGAAGGCAAAGGCTGAACACCGTTTTCTCGCACAGGCCATTTTGGCCACGAGAGACTTTGCAAAAAAACACAATCAAAGAAGGCTCGTTTGAGCAGAAAAAGCAATGCCAGGCTGCAGAGACGAAAGCAGCATTTGCAAAGATTGTTGCCATTTGCTAATTGCAGGTGAAAGCGTCACTTCCCTCCTTTTTTTTACAATTAATTTCAAATCCCGTGAGTGATGAAGATTTCAACTGCCAAGTGAGATTACCAGCATGTGAGATTTTATAAGGCCATGTGAGTCCCATCAAGAAGAAGACCGCCGATGGTTTGTGGTTGGGATCAGGATTTTCAAACGTTTTTTGTTTCGACTCGACGGCTTCCCGCCCCATGGGCGCACGCACGCACGCAGGACTTCCTCATCGATTTTTTCAGCGAATTCCTCGCACAGGATTTGGATCACGCGCCGCCTGGGCCGGCAATATCCATTCATGCCAAACATTTTCCTGGTTTGTACCCAAAGTTTGACATGAACATGATAAAACATGGTGGAATCAACGGTTGTTGGGCACAGAATTCCCCAAAAATTTGATGGGTCAAAATTTGAGATTATTGTCTATAATATTAGGTCCCATAATTTTTCTCTTTTCCTTCTTGTGAACGAACATTGCCCTGAAATGAGATCTACACTTTGGGGCAGCTGATGATTCTGATTGTTTTTTTTCTCCGACTTCATCTTCCAAAGGTGCTCCGGGGCTGACATGATATGCATGGTTGGTGGCTTCACATATTTGTTTTAGTTTCCATCTCTAGAACTGCGATGATGATCCTGATTGACTTTGCCATATTTTTTTTCCGAGGCTTGGCTCAACCACCAGCCACTGAACGAATTTTCCAACCGTCCAAAGCGCACGAGAAAAAACTGCATTTTGCGCACTCCAGAGACATAAGACCTACAAAACATACGGTTTTACAAATTGAATGAATCCACGAACTATTGAGTCAAATAGCGAAACAGTCACACTTCCCTGCTGAAGTAGAAGGTTTGCAATAGTTTTCTGCATGCTTGAGTTGGTAGACTTGTTGATCGTCAGTTGTCCCTCACTCAGAAGTTTCTCATCTAGATTTCCTTTGACTGAACTCAATTTGTTATGTGCCTTTTGAGCATGGACATGATAGACTGTTGTTTGTTTATCGTGACTGATAGTTTTTCATTACCATGATCAGGAATCAGCATCACAATTGTCATGGCTACCGTTATTGTAACGCTTATCATGTTTTTAAAGCTTGTAAAAAACATGATTGTTGTTTTCATCACAAAAATAATTATATTGTAATATCTTATAATCAGTTGTTTGGTCATTTTTGTCGTGACAACAAAAAACATATTGTCACCAGAAATATGCCCAGTGCCGAGGTCAATGATTTGCAGAGCTACAATACTCTCCTTGAGCCTGGCCCATATGTTGCTGGTGACCAGCATGGCCTTGCTCGAAAACCGTTTTTTGGCTGCAACTGGACTGCTTCTTTGAAGCTAAGAAACAGCGATGCCCCCAAAATGATGATTTATAGTTGATTTATGTTAGCTAAGTTGGCAAAGATAACTCCACTAATTCTTGGAAATCTGCTAGATGTATCATATACGTAGACATTGCGGGCTAACATAAACCAACGAACATCGGGCAACACCCTGTAGTGGGCTTGACGGAGCTCGGACTCCAGCATAGGCCATGGAAAAAAAAATAAGGAACAAAATGATGAACCACGATGAACCATGGGTGTATTATGGTCTGTACATTTTCTGATGATGAACATCTGATGATGAACAAAATGATGAACATCTGATGATAAACAAAATGATGAACATCTGATGATGAACAAAATAATGTAACCTATTTTCAGACCCATTTTTATCTATTAACTTTTCTAATTGGACCCATCCAGCCGGGGTTCCGTACGATCAAGAAAGCATGGAGTTGGTTTGGAAAGTCGGTTATTCTGCGCCAAAAATGGAAGAGAAAATTGTCTCCTGAAAAAAATGTGCACAGTATGAATCTAAGACAATCTAAGATTAATGCACCATGTTTCCTTGTTACAGCACTATTTTGTGCTGGTAATTGCATGATGGTTGGCAACAACTCACTTAAGTTCAGCCTATGAATATTGCCATCTAAACCAAGCGGTGACCAAAATCACTTGTTGATGATATACCCTCTGGTCATTTCATGCAACGCGCTGGAAGATCATAATTTGTGTAGCAAGTAATCAGGAATCATCCAAAAATGGGGCATTGTTCATAGGTATGGTATCTTATGTTATCGTGTGTTGTGTTATGTTAATATGGTTGTTAATCGAAATTATTATTTTATTCTCCCTGGTGAACGTAGAGACACCGGATAGCGGAGTTGCAAGGAGGACAAAAACGTGGGCAATGCGATGGATAGCCAGATTAGTATATATATATACAATATATACAAAATTTTGACCCATACCTAAATACCCTATGGTTATTTAACAGTGTTACAGTGTGCGAACTGGAAGCCATGGCCCATTTATAATATGAATTATGATGATTTACAAAAAATGCTGGTTTTCCATGCAGAAATACGTGAACTTACTAGAGGGTATAAATATATATTCTGATAATGCCTTTGCCTAAAATGGTCACTGAAGTTTCTTCGTTCACACTGGCACTGATATTCGTTTGGGACGTACGTTCGAATTGAAGGTGAATTGTGATAATTTACATATCCAGATCAATACTTTGGGAATATTGACATATATCATATATAGATACTATAGATCAACTGATAATTTAACATAGCTATGGAACATCTGTAATCGATGCATGGCAATGTTCATCCACTGAAGGGATCTCTGGAGACATCGGATGGCGATGTGTGGAATTTTTCTGAAGCCCAAGCTTAGCCTCTGCCAAATCAATCTGGACAACAAGAATCTTTCCACAATATATGCCAACTTGCTTTGGAAGATCCGACTGCTATTGAAACACCAGGACTTTCGTTAGAGATATCATACAAGAATCCAGGTCTGTGAATGACACATATTTTATCATACCTTATGATAGTTTAGCATATTTTATCATGAGGTTTCTATCCACATTGATATCAGATATGTTTTTAATTACCATAGATTAGAGACAGACACTTTCTAACCATAGTTCTTTTTTCTACCCCAGTTATAATTAAATTAGTGGAATATCCCCACTTGGATTAATGGGATGAAATATGGGTCATAGATTATAAACCACGGATACGATTCCTGGGATGCACATCCAAGTATGGAAAATGCTATGGAAAATGCGTGAACATAGCCCATTTAAGTATGAATATAAGTGACTAAGTGTGTTTGAATATTTCTATGGTACCTCATGGTACATCTATTTCCTACAGTTAAAACAATGCCATGTTTACAATCCCCCAGTCATCACCATAGATAGGTAGTAACCATCAAAAATGGGGTGGTTTATGACATTGTTTTACCCTCATTAAAATATGAAAATGGTACAACAAATTTGTGAATTTCTATGTCCCGCTTCAGGCGTTGCCCTGGTGGTGAACACGCGTCTGTTGTCAGCCCCCGCAGATGGCTGGACCGTGCGCTTGTCGCGCATGGTACAGGGCTTTGGTTCCTTCCACAGTGGCTCGGCTTCGCAACCTGATACGTCAACAACGATTGGCCACTAATCCCTTGAAAAATGGAGGCTTCAGTGGGTTTAGTTTGGTTTAACTACCAACAAAATGGTGGTTTGATATGGTATGACCATCCGGAAATGGTGGTTTAAGCATGAGCAAGTTGTCCTTGAACCATCGCGAGAGGTGGGTTTGACCATCAAACATTATCTCAAAACTAAGGGTTCAACCGTTTAACTATCAAACATGGGGATTCAATATGGCTTAGCCATCCTGAAATGGGGCCGTATAATAATATATAATAAATACATATAATATATTTAAACACAGTGCAGTCAATGTAACCCTCAATGCCAGCCAATCGAAACCATGGACTGTACTAGATCTATTCATTTTGGCGGCCCAGCAGCGCTTAGGGTATTTAATATTTGGTGGACGGGACTGCAAATTTGGGGATTTGAATCAGACCAAGTTAGACTGAGATTCAGAATGATGATGATGATGATGATGCTCATGATGATGATGATGATGATGATGATGATGATGATGATGATGATGATGATGATGCTCATGATGATGATGGTGATGATGATGATGATGCTCATGATGATGCTCATGATGATGCTCATGCTGATGATGATGATGATGAAGATGCTCATGATGATGATGATGATGATGATGGTGATGATGATGATGATGATGCTCATGATGATGCTGATGCTGATGATGCTCATGATGATGCTCATGATGATGCTCATGATGATGCTCATGATGATGCTCATGATGATGATGATGATGATGATGATGATGATGATGCTGATGCTGATGATGCTGATGGTGATGATGATGATGATGATGATGATGATGCTCATGATGATGATGATGATGATCATGATGATGATCATGATGATGATGGTGATGATGATAATGATGCTGATGCTGATGATGCTCATGATGATGCTCATGATGATGATGATGATGATGATGATGCTGACATCTGATGTTTCTTTTTCGATGCCTTTCAAAACATGTCAAAACCGACAATACTATTCATATGAACGGGATGAACATTTAGAGCTAGAAGCTATTTTATGACGTGAACAAGAGGGTACCGGGGCCTCCGGGCTTTTGATCCATAAACAAGGCAAGAAGGACGGGCTAATAGGAGTTTTTACCAACAAAAATGGATCATTGCTCTTGAAAAGGAATTAGCTAGAGACAAAGGTTCAATATCTATGGTATGTGCGCTTGGAGACAAGCTTAAATATCTATACTATACCCCAAAAGATACTGATTTATCACTGACTCTTTTTAGTAGTTTACCGGTGTTCATTTTTGTGGCTATCCACACCAACGGTTTTTTCCGTTTTATCCACACCATTTTTTGCTGGTAGTTTACCAGATCCGTCCCTGTCTGAGGTATGGAGGTGCATCGGTGTGGAAGCAACTCTCAGCTGGTCTTTGATGCGAGATCGGTACCACAGAAACATCGTGAGCTGACTGAAGCTATGGAGGTGTTAATATGGGAATGGCTCAAGTTACCTATGAAATTACCATATGACTTGGGGAAGAAACATCCAGCTATACCTGCTATGACTTAGGGTAACGTTTGGGTGACAGGGTTTTGACATGTTTTGACCCATAGCCATATGAAAATCATCTATAGATGCTAGATTTCAGCAATGATCGCTGGTTCATTTCTTGCATAGATAGATTTACCTAGCTTACCTATTAATAATGATGATTCTCCGCAGCAAACTCTTTATATATATATATATGATATGAACAACATACAGAGGGTACATGCTTTTCATGGGCATTTCTGGTGGTTTTTCCATTTCGGATGATCAATTCACTGGAAGGAATTCAGCATCGAAACCAACCATAAAAGCAGGTCATTCTCAGAACATCTCAGTCCGAGGTATATCCAGCTTCGTGAACTCCAATTACCTCATTCATCTGGCCATGGTAAGCCATATGTTCTTTCTTTTTCCAAGTTGTAGAAGATGTTTTCGGCTATTATGTGTTTGGCCGCAGTTTTCCATCCGCAACGGTGGATGACGATAATGGAATACCTGTTTCTTCGTAATTGTCCATATGTCTTAATATTCTCACACATGGATTGGATATGTTGTATTTGGAGCGTCTTCCATCCCCCCAACAGAAAGATTATTAGGCCCCCAATTATCGGTTCCGTTTTGTTCAATGCAGTGTGTTGAAATTACATCTTCCTTTTTTTGTGACCTGTTGGTGAATATCCTGTGTGCTTACTGGCCATTCTCCCATTCATGCTTGTACCTGGACACTAAATTGTCCCATTTCGATGAGTAAAAGTACTGTACCACATTTGTTGGCGTAACATTGCTGAGATACGCATATTTATTTATTATGTATTTATTTATATTTATTTCTAACAGAGGGTCCGTTTGTATCATGTTGTTCCTATACGGTTGCCCATCACCGAAGTCCTTTTGCATTTGCACAGAGGCAAGATTTTGCTGCACGGCGTCACCAGCACGGTGCATTACATCCTCTACAGGAGCACAACTTTGCGTCTGACGGAGGTGGGGCAACCCTGTTTTTTTTTGGGCAGCCGCTGGATGTTACAGTGATGGCCCAACTAACAGTGATAAATGGAATCATAAGGATCCTACAACTGAAGCTATACATCATCATAGACCCATTTATAACGGAAAGCATCCGTGATTTATAAGAATCTGGGTGAATTTAATCACGACCTTATTGTTCTCCCTCACTAGAATGACGGCTAAGGATTCGGGGAATCATCCCCTAGCTGGCCGCAAGTTTCAGTGGGGCCGGGGCCGATAAGACAAGTTGGTTGACATATTTCAGGTTATTATATATAGTGAAATATAATAATTACCCAGAACATTGTGTATATAATGTATATATAACTATATATATATCTAAATAAAAATATGTATAGAATTATATATATAGGCATATATATATATAACTATAAATAAAACACTATATATAGATAACTATATATAACTGTTTAGACAACTATCTACATAACTATTTGTATAACTCTATATATATATATATTTAAAACTATATTTAACAAATATATATATATAATAAAACTATGTATATATAACTATTTATATATATTATATTATATATATAACTACATTTCAAACTATATATATATATGAATATACATAATATAACTATATATATATATAACTGTTTATACAACTATCTATATAATTATATTTACATAACTATATATGGTCTCGTGTTCCGTGTTCCTACCCCCCAATGGTATGGGTCCACAGGTAGCACCCCCTTCCCCTCTATTTGCAAGCTATTGGCAGCATTTCCGAGGTCCAGCCTCGTATTTGCTAGGTCTTTGCAGCATGTCTGACTACCAGCCTCGCATTTGCTAGGTGAATGCTACCTTTTAGACGACCTACGTAGCACACATACTCCCTCACAGTACCTACGTGCTACCTCTAGTCATATGTACATGTATCTAATTACTTCCTATTTGCTAAAATTATATATATATATCTATATATATCTATATACATACATGTATATATATACATATGTGTATATATACATATGTATATCTTTTTACATATATACATATTTATATTTTTACATATTTACGCATATACATATGTGTATCTATTTACATATACGTATATATATATACATATATATATATATGTATACATATATACATATATATATATATGTATACATATATATACATGTATATGTAAACATGTGCAAATATATTGAAATATACATATGTATTATATATATATAGTTTTTTAAAACTACATACATAACTACATACATACATACATACATACATACATACGTACATACATACATACATACAGATATATAACTAGACATATACATAGCAATATATATATAGTTATAATTAATATCAATATTAATGTAGTTAAATAAACACATATATATATAACTATATATGTATAACTGTTTATATATAACTATATATATATATGTATAACTATGTATTGATATAATATATTGAACTATATATGTAACTATATGAAGGTTATTGCATGTTTTTAGCAACTTACTAACTGGGATGCAGCCCGAAGTATACCGAATACCAAGTCTCTTGGGATCCGTTGCGGGGCACTGTTCGGGAGCTCTAAGAGTCTTTGAGGTTCGAGAGAAACAGAAGTGACCGTGGCCCAATTAGTTTTTGGTCATTCATGGTTTGCTGCATGAGATTGCCCTCCTTTAATTCATCATAGCTATGGAAAAGGGCCCATTCAATCACATTTACAGATGATAGTGGTATGGGCATAGTCATGATACGGTATGCTAACTAGTTCAATGGCGAGTCCCCCAGGGTTTATGAGACATTTTTAGATAGGTTCCTTCAAGACAGCATTAGCGAAGCTGTGGGTGGTTTCAATTACCGGCGTCCCCTCTGCGATCTGGGAAATCCCCAAACTCCATGGGTTTTTAGATGGGAAAATCATAGGAAAATATGATGTAGTCCCCAATAAAATGGAGGGTTCAATGGAACAATCATCTATAAATGACCTCTAAAATGAGGTTTAATGGGAAAACAATCTAGAAATGGAGGTTTATATGGGAAGAACATCAAACATCATCAAACTAGATGCGGGATTTTCCAGGAAGCCTAGGGACACCGGAGGGTATCCAATTGTTTGTTATGATGGGCGCAGGCCATTTGACGTCCATGCAGCATATTGATGCAGACGCCTTTTGAGTGGTTGGTTCTGTTGTAACAAATGGCATTCCAACCACTCAATGTGTAAATCCGCCATTTATATAGATTTATTTGGAAGATCTAGCCCTTGTTTCACAGTTATTTTCAGCACCATTTTGAAATCTACTGCGGAGCGCAGCCAGTGGCATTCCTGCTTCTATCCGAAAGTAGGAACAATTTTTATGGTCATTTGAAATTATCCGATACTGTCCATCCATGGTTCGGGAGCTGTTTTTTGTCCCATTCACAGCTAAGCTGTTGAAGAGTGATTTGTATGCCCATCGCTAGAGGAATGGGAATGTGTCAGATTCAATGGGTATACGGTATGCACCAATCCATGCCGTGGTTGCGTGAAATCCCCGAATGTTCTGCATGTCAGCTGCTGTTTGGCGGATTTTGGCAGTAAATATAGTAAATACAATATCATTATCCTAATGATTTTTTTCATGCCTGCGCTTCAAAGAACAGCATCTTTCCAGTCCAAAGTCCAGTCCAGCATCTGAAGGGAGTCGCCAGGTACGAGACATGGTGAACCAGGCGGTGGAGCAAATTCTGGTGGCGCGGAAAAGCCAGGTGATGTCTCGTGCCTCGATGTCGAAGTCGTTGCCATGGAATGAGTCGATCTGGGTGTGCCCCCAGTTAGGAAACCATGGAAAATTGACAGTTAAAAGAAGGAAAATGAGGATTTCATTGGATTTCTAGCTGATTTATGATATCTGTGTTGGTGAGCAGAACTCTAATAACCTCTGGGCTTATGGTATATCGAACTAGTTCATGCCATTATAAACCATCAAACACAACTGAGAGGCACCACATATCACCACATTGTATAGAGTATGAGAGTTTTACGAGGAACTTAGAAAGGCCATGGAGTTAGCCACAAGCTAATTTGTTCATCCCATGACCCATCTAAGTTTGTTTATCTTTGTTTACTGGAGGCTAGTTAAGTGATAGAGTAATATGCATGGTGCAACGGATGGTAAAGATTGCTAAAGCGGATGCTCACAATTTTTGCAGAACTCACTCGTGTTGGTATGTACTGGTAGTAGCAGTAAATAGTAATAGTATGTAATAGTGATCCGGTTCTTGTTCCAAAGTAATACATGTTGTCCATTGTAGAATTTAGTTTTATATAGTCATATTTGTCCACAGATGCCGGGTAAATTATATAAAATTATGATGAGAGGGAGGCTCTGCCCCACCAGACTTGTATCAGTGGATGGCATCGTCAGTTTATGTCAGCACGATGTTCAGTACACCCAACTCTTTGGCAATCGAGCATGGCAAAGCAAAACATCACCCGTTTGTGGATGAGTTTCCCAATGATAGAATATGAAAGGTCAATGTATAGGGAAATCCCCGGCTATATACGCATGTTTGATTCGCGGGAGCGTGAATTCGTGATAGCTTCAAAAAAACATACAGTATTTGATCCTGGGCCCTGGGCTGTATCTCACTGGGCAACCTCGTTGTAGAGATGGTAAACGGATTGGCGGAATCACCCTACAATTGCTCACAATGGCTTTACAAATGAAACAAAAAGGTATGATGAGTAAACTTGGCACATGGATTATTATGATTTTTCAACTATTCCTTTTATGGATTTTTACTTTTACATAATCTGAAAATGATCAGGGTTGGCGACCTAAAAGAGGATTGCAAACATGGTGGATGAACTATGATGAACTGATGTTTATAGCAGATTCGTTCGGAACCTTGATGGAAAGAATGGATTGATATTGACCATGAAAGTTGGAACTGCAGGGGAATGTGTGTTTGCATAGTGACTTTTAATATCTTTTAATGGGTTAATGATGTTAATGCTTGACATATGTGTTGCCATTTATTGGAGGAATATTTGATTGATATCCCATTCAATATTTGTTCAAGAGGTATTCAAGGTCAATATCCATGTGTTTTACTTTTTTGGTCAAGTTTTGTCTGCTACGCTTGATAAACGGATTATTCTGAGTCATGCTGATGGGGAAATCATTAATTGAAAGTTGACTCACTACTATGGCAGGGGACCGTTTAAGAGCCACGAAAGTTCGAAACAGCTGGACCCACGGGTAAATCATACCGAGCTCACTGACACAGCCAAGGACTCAACATGAAAGGGTGTCGCAGCATCTTGCCGTGGTCGTGGCAGGGATCGTGGCAAAGCTCATGGTTGAGCTGGTTTCTAGGAACTGTAAGGAGGCAAAGAGATCATTCATACATATTCATACGCTGTTTTGGGAGTAAATTTGATGTTGTTTGTGCCTAAGAATGACACCATGTGGGTTTTGTTTCTGGCTGTTTTAGTAATATTTACCCGGGCACCTCAGCTTGTAGTTTCTTCAAGAGCTTCAATGAGTTCATTGAGATCGATTAGCGACCTGTTCGGACACAAAGTCGTCAACCAACTACAGTTGTATGTCTCCACTATGATATATTTTCAGTGGTTCTTTCTCAATGCCAGACGCATGTTAATGTTGTTGGGAAGAAAAAGGAGACCTAACTGACCTAACTCTGAAAATGTTCTCAGATGATAAGAGGGACAAACTGGACCCTGAGATTCGGCCACTTTTTTCAGAAAAGTGGATAGTAGATGGATGGTAGGCAACAAATTGGACATTGATGTTGACAAAAATCTTCATCATTTGTTGGACATTTATGTTGACATTTATGTTGGACATTTTCACACATTTGTTTCCATTGTTCTTTGGGTGCTCTGGGAAGCACCATTTTTCTTCGGGTCCAAGGATCGCTGACGCAAGAGGACGATCAAGCCATCGAGGCTAGGGTGAAGCGGCTGCCATCGAAATGGACCCCCAGGAATGGATTAATGGAATGTATATAATATATATATAATACTGTGTATATATATACACATGGGTTATCATGCGTTACATTGTATATACATTCCTTTAATCACAATTATGTATATATATATATTTATATGATTACATATGCAAATGTATATATAAATATAAGCACATGGGTTATCATGCGTTACATTGTATATACATTCCATGAATCATAATTATGTATATATATTTATTTGATTACATATATAATACTGTATATTTATATATACACATGGGTTATCATGCGTTACATTGTATATACATTCCTTTAATCACAATTATGTATATATATTTATATGATTACATTTGCAAATGTATATATAAATATAAGCACATGGGTTATCATGCGTTACATTGTATATACATTCCATGAATCATAATTATGTATATATATATATATTTATTTGATTACATATGTATGTATATATATATACACATGGGTTATCATGCGTTACATTGTATATACATTCCTTTAATCACAATTATGTATATATATTTATATGATTACATTTGCAAATGTATATATAAATATAAGCACATGGGTTATCATGTGTTACATTGTATATACATTCCATGAATCATAATTATGTATATATATATATATTTATTTATTTGATTACATATATAATACTGTATATTTATATATACACATGGGTTATCATGCGTTACATTGTATATACATTCCATGAATCATCATTATGTATATTTATATATGATTACACATGCATATATATATATACATACACATGGGTTATCATGCGTTACATGTATATACATTCCTTTAATCATAATTATGTATATATATATTTATATGATTACATATGCATATGTATATATAAATATAAACACATGGGTTATCATACGTGACATTGTATATACATTCCATGAATCATAATTATGTATATATATATATATTTTTATATGATTACATATGTATATGTATATATATATTTATATATACACATGGGTTATCATGCGTTACATTGTATATACATTCCATGAATCATAATTATGTATATATATATAAATTTATTTGATTACATATGTATGTATATATATATATACACATGGGTTATCATGCGTTACATTGTATATACATTCCTTTAATCACAATTATGTATATATATTTATATGATTACATATGCATATGTATATATAAATATAAGCACATGGGTTATCATGCGTTACATTGTATATACATTTCATTAATCATAATTATGTGTATATATATTTATATGATTACATATGCATATGTATATATTTACACATGGGTTATCATGTGTTGCATTGTATATACATTCCATTAATCATAATTATGTATATATATTTATGATTACATATGTATGTGTGTATATATATATACACATGGGGTATCAAGGGTTACATTATATTTACATTCCATTAACCATCATTATGCATATATTATATGATTACATATGTATATATATATACACCTGGGTTAGCATGGGTTACATTATATATACATGCCATTAGTCATAATCATGCATATATATTTATATTTATGAGGACATATGTATGTATATATATATACACATGGGTTATCATGGGCTACATTATATACACAGTCCATTAATCATAATTATGTATATATATATTTATATATATATGAGTACATATGTATATGTATATATATATACATTGGTTATCATGGGTTACATTATATATACATTCCATTAATCATAATCATGCATACATATATATATATATATTTGAGGACATATGTATGTATATATATACACATGTGTTATCATGGGTTACTTAATATTTACATTCCATTAATCATAATCATGCATACATATATATATATCTTTTTTGAGGACATATGTATGTACATATATATATACACACAAGGGTTATCATGGGTTCCATCTTATATACATTCCATTAATCATCATTATGATATATATATATATATATATGTGTTGGTGTTGTGTATAGTAGCATCGGTTTTAGATCCATATGGCTTATCTGTATGCGTAATATCCCCAGTTAAATATGGTGTGTATAAATATATATATACATACAGATGCAGTTATGTTGTTTTTTTAAGTGGACGGAAGACGGAAAGATTGAGTAGTAACACTGAATGCCAGGCCAAGGCTAGGTGTGTATATATATATATACAAGTGGACTGTATATGCATGGCGTTTACATTTATGGGTGACATATGTATTTATATATATATATGCATGTATTTATAGATGCATATATATATATATGGCAGTAGGTGAAATCACCCTAACTTAGTTATAACTGGACTAACCTTACTTACCTAAATCCAATTTGAATTCCAGGATCCTAAAATGGACGTACTGTACCATATCAAGCTAGAATTTGTTGGTATTATGGTATATCCCCTTACATGGCCCTTATAGGCATTTTAAATGGTAGGTACCAACCATTTGTATAGGTACCTGAAAAGGCCATTGATTCCCGGGGTGAACCAACACGTATTGTTTACCACATTAGCTTGCGTTCATTCTCCAAAGTCTGGACCAACCCCTTCCCTTAGATACCGTGTTTAATTTAATACAGCTATGGAAACGGTGCATCCCACTTATTCAATGAGTTGTACCGCCAGTTATATATGGAATATCTCCACATATATATATATATATGGGATTACATGGCTTATATATGGCTTATAAACCACTTACTAAATAAAATGCATATCTAAGTATGTAAAATGAATGAATCTAGCCCATTTGGTTCGATGATTTACCTTTTGAACATGCTTATTTTCCATAGCTATATGAACTATTTCTATATCTACCATAAACCCAAATATTTATTGCGATTATCTATAAAGAAACGGTGCGAGAAAAAAAATGCCGGGCACCACGTGCGGATCCACTGGCTAGGCGTTGCTTCAATCAGACCTGATAGCTCCTCATGAGCTGGTGAGTACTGTGGAAGACATGTGCAGTGGCGACTTTATCTACCGTCAAGGCCAAAAAAAGGGGAAGGTTGGCCTGGAGACTGTTGGACTGTTGAGGGCTATGGTATGCTGAATCTCTACATTAATTGTTTATGTATATATATATTTATTTATATATATATATATATGCACCCCCCCAAGACCTACCTTTTGTGTAGCAAATATGCTCCTGAATGTCTTGTCTTCCTTCTTACCTTATCACGTATTGTAGCTGGACACATCCTGCCCCAGAGTATAGCATATTATTTTTATTTTTTTGATGAATACAACTTTTTGTAAAACAATTGTTTGCAATGACTACTGGTGGAATTCATGTTTACTAAAGTTTCTGTAGCGATTTGAAACCTTCTAGTTTCTACCAAAGTTGAGCTTTGTGCAAGATTAGGTGATATAGTTAGTGCATCTTGATATTTTACATTTTTATAATGTAGCTACTTTTTCAACCCTCCTACAATTTCAGAACATTCCATCAAACTTTGCATAGTAAATTGACAATAACTAATCATATTCTCATTTGATGTTAGTTGTCTTTTTTGTTCTTGTGAACCTACGTTATTTCCATTAGTTTTTTCTTCAGCATCTAGCATCTTTTTTTGTAGAAGAATTGTTTTTTTGCTGTAATGATTTATTTTTAAAATCTGTATCGTGTAGATGATCTTGTAATTTCATTGTTTTAAATCCAGGGGTGCTTGAGTTAGATATGTTATCTTTTGAACATAAATAATTTTGATGATACTAAATTAGTAAGAAAAAATATAGATCAGTTTTTAATATTAAGTGTGTTTTGCTGGGAGCCTCTTTTCGGTCAGAGCTTGCATCTTTTCTGGTAGCATTTCGGATAGAAAGCGGAATTGTTTCCTCTCCTTAATTGGATGACCGACATGTTTGGTAATCACCTTATGCACGGTTCGGTACGCCCAGCCTGGCCTTGGGACCCGTTCCTTTTCGTTGTCAAACTCAGATGGACAGCAGCCCACGGCCATATATCCTCAATGCACCGGATCTCTTTTGATGTCGGAAGCTAAATACATTTTAATTATCTCTTCTGGATCGGTACGCCCAGCCTGGCCTTGGGACCCGTTCCATCCTCTTGTCATATCCTCAATGCACCGGATCTCTTTTGATGTCGGAAGTTAAATAGGACAGAGCCCGCACAATAGTGCCTCTTCTGGATCGGTACGCCCAGCCTGGCCTTGGGACCCGTTCCATTCTCTTGTGAAATCCTGAATGCACCGGATCTCTTTTGATGTCGGAATTTAAATACATTTAAAAACTATTTCTTTTGGATTGGTACGCCCAGCCTAGCCTTGGGACCCGTTCCATCCTCTTGTCATATCCTCAATGCACCGGATCTCTTTTGATGTCGGAAGTTAAATAGGACACAGAGCCCGCACAATAGTGCCTCTTCTGGATCGGTACGCCCAGCCTGGCCTTGGGACCCGTTCCATTCTCCTGTGAAATCCTGAATGCACCGGATCTCTTTTGATGTCGGAAGTTAAATAGGACACAGAGCCCGCGCAGCACTGCCTCTTCTGGATCGGTACGCCCAGCCTGGCCTTGGGACCCGTTCCATTCTCCTGTGAAATCCTGAATGCACCGTATCTCTTTTGATGTCGGAAGTTAAATAGGACACAGAGCCCGCACAATAGTGCCTCTTCTGGATAGGTACGCCCAGCCTGGCCTTGGGACCCGTTCCATTCTCCTGTGAAATCCTGAATGCACCGGATCTCTTTTGATGTCGGAAGTTACATACATTTAGATGCTATTTCTTTTGGATTGGTACGCCCAGCCTAGCCTTGGGACCCGTTCCATCCTCTTGTCATATCCTCAATGCACCGGATCTCTTTTGATGTCGGAAGTTAAATAGGACACAGAGCCCGCACAATAGTGCCTCTTCTGGATCGGTACGCCCAGCCTGGCCTTGGGACCCGTTCCATTCTCCTGTGAAATCCTGAATGCACCGGATCTCTTTTGATGTCGGAAGTTAAATAGGACACAGAGCCCGCGCAGCACTGCCTCTTCTGGATCGGTAAGCCGCTAAAAGCCGCTAAAAGCCGCTAAAAGCCGCTAATCTATACATATATCAAGACTAAACAAGCCTCCCAGAAATTCTTACTTAATTAATATATGTGTCATATTATAAATTGTCTTACTTTTTTATAGTTCTTAATCTTGTGATATTTTGTTTATAGATATTTTAGGAGTTTCTAGCATTGGATGAATATGTATGTTTACTTTGAAAGATCCTATATTTTTTATTGGTTCTTTTAGCTCTATATTCTGATGATCTAGTTTTAGGTTAATCAAATTATTTATTTTTTATATCTTGGATATGTTTTTTCAGATTGGTTTGTTTGCATTTTTTATGACAATATTCTACCATTTTAAGATGTGAACTTTGATAGCATTTCAGGGTTTTTACAGTCTATTACCTTTTTTCTAAACATAAATTGCGGCCATGTTTTTTAAAGAAAGTTTTCTTTGCCGATCTATCTGCAACCCTTTCCAATACATTTTGTTGGGACGGTTTGAATTGATCTGTAGATAAAGAGGTATTGCTATCGGCTTCTTAGCAGTCCAAGACCTAACTTTTAAACTTTTTTTTTGTAGCCTGCCTTTTGATCATAGTTTCTTTGATGTTATGTATGGTGAAGTTGCCGTGCAACCGCCAGCGATGTCAAGCTTCTGCTGGGGCGAGGAGATAGCAAAATCTCCAAGGGTGAGGAGAGAGTAAAAACTAGAATTGATTAATGTACCCAATTCTTTAGAAAATAAAGCGTTAGCGTGCTGCGAGTGGCAGAAAGTAGTGACTGGCGCTCCTGCACTCAGAGAGTGCGGCATATCTTCGCAGCCAGCGTTGAGGAAAAACTTTTTTTGGAGTTTGGAGCGCGTCCAAGTTTTGTTTAAAACGCAAACAATGGTGTCTGCACATAGCTGGTCTTTTTGAAGCGACGTATGCTTGAACTGGTGTTTGGTTGAAAAGCTGTATCGAGCCAACACACCCAGTTGCGTCCGCTCGGGTGTGCTACCTAGAGTGCCCGTGCTAGAAGTTTGTTTCGAGCATGCCTGGTTCAAGTTGCCCCACGGGATAGTAAAAACTAGGTTTCGAGCCAGCACAACCAGACGCGTTCGCGCGAAACGATGTCCTGAAACCTTCTTGGTCCCAGCCAACATGTTCAATATTTTTTTTTGCAGATTTCGGACATACTGTTCGGCTAAAACATTTGTTTATTTCGATTGATCCCCAACATGGCATTTCAAGGCCATTGCTCTGACATACTTTGCCAAACTCAAACCACGACAAGTTTAGACACAGTTTCAAACAAAGGTGAAAACATCGCATTTTCATACTACAAGGACTCCGGCCATAAGCCCCATTACAAACCTCACGCCATTGTTTTGATTTTCAAGGGGCGAAACCTTTAGCCCTTAGCCCTTAGCCCTCCAGTGTTAAAAGATGCGGCACGCGCGAGGTGAGACTTGCACAGCTAATTTGGGTAGAAAGTTCAAACTTTTAGATGCCTGGAGTTTGGCTGGCTAAGGGATGAGTTCATGTATTTTACTCATCATTGTTTAATTTTTCCTTCTTAATTGTTCAAGAAATTACTGTTTTAGATTACAGAAGGTTCTTTTTCAATTTATTTGACAGAATACTCTTACTAATCCCGATCAAAATTCTTTAGGAATCCAAGATTTTGATCAGGAGTCTTGTGGGAATCTTGGATCTTGGATCTTGGATTTTGCAAAGAATGCATTCAGAATGCATTCTTCCCCAAATCTAAGGGGGTTGGATTCAGGATTCAAGATTCCCAGAAAGAATTCTTGAATCCAAGAGGGTAGGATTCAAGATTCAAGATTCAAGGCTTAGAAAAACTTTTTGAATCCCTGGATTCAAGATTCAAGATCCTGGGATTCAAGAAGTTTTTTCTGAGCCTTGAATCTTGAATCTTGAATCTTGAATCTTCCCCCCTGGATTCAAGAATTCTGTCTGGGAATCTTGAATCTTGAATCCTTGGATTCAAGAAGTTTTTTCTGAGCCTTGAATCTTGGATCTTGAATCCTACCCCCTTGGATTCAAGAATTCTTTCTGGGAATCTTGAATCTTGAATCCTGGGATTCAAGAAGTTTTTTTTGCGCCTTCAATCTTGAATCTTGAACCTTGAATCCTACCCCCTTGGATTCAAGAATTCTTTCTGGGAATCTTGAATCTTGAATCCTGGGATTCAAGAAGTTTTTTTTGCGCCTTCAATCTTGAATCTTGAATCCTACCCCCTTAGATTTGGGGAAGAATGCATTCTGAATGCATTCTTTGCATAATCCAAGATCCAAGATTCTCACAAGACTTGCAAAAAATTGCAATTATTGATCACCAGAAAATGCCTTAAATTGTAGAATCCAAAATATTAAGGAAAACACTGTAAATAACACTAAATTTGCTTGAAATGTAGGTCTTGGGGGGGAACACATATATATATATATTATACGATATTGTTTGATATTTCTGCACAAGTATATTCAATATATCATATATGTTCATATATATATACACACATACATACATGCATACATGGAAATGGTGAATTTGAAGATAAGTCCACCATGTTTTCAGTTTTGGGACCATTCTTGTTCATTTCATTTAATTTCCATCCACTGTATCTACTCCAGCATGGTTGCAATCCCATTCTTGAACAATGTCAGAAACAGCTGGGATTCTCCCAGTTGCCAACTATTGAACGCCAGTCCAGCATGGCAATGCGAAATCTCCATCGAAAAGAAACATATCTTGGATACATAATGCAATGTTTGCTTCCGTGTGGGTCAGATGATTGTGAATGAAGTCACCCTTCAAGTTTTTGTCTGGAACAGTCAGATCACTAGCAAAAAATAGTAGTGTATTGCCAAAATATTGTATGTTTGAAGGCAGGCGATTTTATGGCAAAAACGGGCCAACTATGCCATATATCATAAAACATTCTGTTTATAATAAGATGTATTTTTTCTTGGCTATTTGTTCAGGATACTTGTGTAGCCAAAGAATCAGGCCATAGTGTATAATGTGGTAAACCCAAATACAAACATCCCCCACTTCCGATATAGGTGGCTTTCCACCCTCTAAAAATAGAGGATTATATATTGGGTTTCTACATTAAATCATCAATTACTATTGGATTTCTCATGATTGAACAATGGTGGTATATATTCAAACCATTTTTCATGGCATTGTTTTCCATTTGTTTCCCTGTCCCTGTCGTCAGCCAGGTACGAAGAAAAGTTCCACCGTCGCAGAAAGTGAAGATGAGGAGTTGCGCCACCATGGTCGACCTTGATTTTGTGCAGAAAAGTTAGAGGACATCCCTATAGTTCATGGGAAAAATCCATGGTTTCCTGTAGATGTTCCTTTAAACTTTAAACCAAACCATTAATGCGTGGGATAGAAACTACTTATGTGATGATCAAAAACAAGTTTGTTGGCAGGTCATTGGCATATATTGTCTATACAATTCTATCTATATAGAGATACATTTGTAGTGAAGAAAGTGGCAGTCTTTGGAGAGGTATAAAACGGGCACAACCCATGGTGTTCCTTGAAATTCCACGAGTCATTTCTCGATGTTTTGTTGGTTACTGCCCCAAGTGACGCCGCGACGCCCCCAAAAGATTGAAAAGTGAAATCCATCCATGGAGGTACAAGCTGGTGTATAACTCCAGTAAGTAGGAAATACGGTAGATATATCCCACTAGTTCGTGGGATTATAAAACCAACAAACATAACTGGGGGGGGCACCATTGTTGACTACCTTTTGATTTGTGTTGCAGGGTTGCTATATATTAGTTCATGTTTGCGTGTAGCCAAGATAGTCGCGTCAAAGAATGGCGTCTGAGCTCCAGAGAGGAAGTAATATATATCGAGAATTGGGAGGTTCGAAGTTACAAGATCCATTGCCAAACCATCAATAAGCATCAACCATTGATAGCCAGGAACAATCATCAATGGCAAGTAATACTCACGAATACAAATCAATAGGAATCAATAATCATCAACAATCTCAACTGCGGATTAATAGTTTTGCAGGCTCTTGATCATCGGGGGCACAATTTGAGTAGCCAGCCAATTAACCAGGTTAGATCTCCGTCCGGGGTTCACATTAACGATTCAATACTAGGAAGTTCTAGGAAGTTTACTATTATGATCTATCATGTTATACTATACTATCAATCATAACTAAAAGCTTGATTACTAAATAGCTACCATCCATCAACTCAAGCATCAATAAATCATCACCCCATACTATGGGGCCCAGTTATTTCTGGTTTATAAACCCATTATCTATAGCTGGCTGGTGGTTTGGAACTTTTTTTTTGTCCATATATTGGGAATAATAATCCCAACTGACTCAACTGACTAATATTTTTTCAGAGGGGTTGAAACCGCCAACCAGATAGTTATATCAAGTTATATCCCCCTAATCAACCCCAACTGTTCACCGATTTGAACTGCGCCCGCTTTTTTTTCACCTCACCTTGTGCAGGAGCCAAAGACGCCCAACGAGAACATCCCGCATAAGGCGAAGAAAGCCTTGGCGCCACGGCCGGAGCGGATGAGGTGACCCATGGTGACCCGGAGCCGTAGTTTCTTAGGAAGTGTTAGCTGGTTGGTGGTTTCAAACATTTTTTGTTTTCCATAATATATGGGATAATCCTTCCCATTGACTAATAATCCCTTCACCCTAATACTAAACGCCCCCCCGAATAATAAACACCTCAGGTAGTTTTTATTATTAGGGGGGTATTTATTATTAGGGAACCCTATTAATAAATTTAAAACCTTAATGATAAAAACTAGTTTGTGCGGTTTCAAAATCAATTAAATTTCCCCTTTATAACGCAATTAAAATATTGCCAAAAATTGGATTTCAAAGCGGACCCTATTAATAAATTTAAAACCTTAATAGTAAAAACTAGTTTGTTCGATTTCAAAATCAATTAAATTTCCTTTTATAGCGCAATTAAAATATTGCAAAAATTCGATTTCGAAGCGGACCATATTATAAATTTAAAACCTTAATAATAAAAACTAGTTTGTTGTTCGATTTCAAAATCAATTAAATTTTCTTTTATAGCGCAATTAAAATATTGCCAAAAATTGGATTTCGAAGCGGGCCCTAATAATAAATCAAAAGCCCTAATTTAAAAAACTAACAATTTTCGGACGGACCCTAATAATAAACACCCCGGGGTTGACAAGTTTTTATTATTAGGGAGCGAAACACACAAATGCTAGTTTTATTTGTAGATTGTTTTCTAAAGGGGAGCGTCAAATTGGCCAATCTGAAATTTTCCGAACTGGGACATGGACCCTAGTTTTTAGTATTTGGGGTACGTTTAGTAATAGGGGGAAAGGATGAAAGGATTATTTTTCAGATAGGTTAAAGCCACCAACCAGTTAGGAAATGTTTGGGGTATGATTTTAGGGGGTTAAGTACCTTCTCAGAACGAGCCACTGCTGTACCTATCGAGGTCAAAAAGTCAAGACTTTAGGAGATTTTAGGTGTAGGCCACCGATTGTCTTGCGAAGAACACATTTGCAATTATATTGGGAGGTTTCCTAAATTACCCCCAACCTATCAAAAAAACATCCAGTTATTGGGGATCCACCATTTTAAGAAATCCCCATATGCGCATGTGATGTCCATTTTTTTTTGACTGAATACGACGAAACTTGGACACTTCAGTTGCCGAGGCTGCTGCGACAAAGAAAAACAGCAAACCAAAACATATTCGAAGGAGATTTCATGAAGCTCAGGCGTGGAGGATGGTGCCCGAGTTCGACAGTCCGATGGGTTGATTAACTCCTCGCTAAACTGTTCATGGCAGGAATATCAGTGAACCAACAAACACCACGGGGGACACCAGCCTGGATCGATAGATGATGGGGGGTCTTGGCAGCTGGTTAAGCCATCGGCTGGGTATCGAAAAGCATCAAAATTTCTTGTGGGTTTAATAATTTGCTAAAGGGGGGTTTCTGCAGCAAGCTCGCGCGGGTTTTAGTACGTTAATCTGTTTTTAAAAAATGCCAGTATTGCTCAAGAGCAAAGACTTTTCGTTAATTCATTTTGTTGTTGCAGGATATCCAAGATTGGTTTGATGGTGTAATATATTTTTTTCATGTAATTGTCATTTTTTCTCATTGTTTTCGATGTTTTTTTTGGTCCATGGTTTCTTCATAGAGTTTTTTTTCGCAGTTGACCCCCTTTGTTTCGCCCATGGCTTCTCTACGCAGGCAGAATGCGCTCGAAGTACTGCAAAGCTCCTCACGGAGGCTGACAGCCTAAATCGCCCCGAGGCTGAACGAAGGCCGTCGAACAACGTCGAACTGGAACAATTTTGCCATGGAAAACTCACATTGTTATGGAAAATCATGATTTGAATAGGTAAATCAACTATACATGGGTCATTTTTCTATAGTTCTGTTAGTTTACCAGATGGTAATGGTGATCAATAGGGACTTCATGGGATTTTATCATGATCTGGGTAAATTTAACCAAGACCTCACGATTCTCCCTCACTGGAATGATGGTGAATGTAAGGGGAACTAAACCAATATAGCCTTATTTCAGGTTAGTGAATTATTATCATTTACCCAGATCAGTGATCAGCAATGGCCAGTATACAACTGGGTCAACACTTTATAAGGAGCAACTGGGGTTCTCACCCAACTACTAGATACTACTAGCCACTTGCAAGCAAAAATTCGTTTGGTTGATAAGCGGGTCAAAATTCTGTGTGTTCTCTTCCATCATAATCATATGTATTCTATCATATTCATTCATATTCTATCCATTTCTTTATACTATAGTCAAAAAGATTGGATTCCATTTGGAAGACTCAAGTTCTGATCCCATGTGGACCCATCCAGAAATTTCAAGCCTCCAATGTTCTCTGAGCCCTGGAAACAGGCCATCACAGCATGGCCATGCCCGCAATGACCAGACAAATTGTCAAGGTAAATAAGTAGTGCAGTCATACCTGTGGTTAACATGAACAAACCATGTGTTTCAACTAGTTTTCAAAACAAAGCGAAAAAATGCAGCAAAACTCCGACGTACCGCTCTAAATGATCAAAGCTGCAACTCAAAAAATACCGTCACAGGCTTTTGACCCAAAAGAATGCATTATGGCTGTGCACGTACTGGTGGGGTGGCAATTAGTCCATTGTTTGTTTCTTGTTTGGGAGGATGGGTCCAGTGTAAGAAGTTGTGCCATGGTCAAAGCATGCGCCATTTTGCCCACAAAAGGGAGTGGTTGTCATCCCCCCATTTTCATAGGAGTTTCCCATCAAAACGGGAATCGCCGTACCATTAACATGGCACTTATTGGCCTTGTATCTGTATCAATTGTGTGAACTATAACGACCTCACGACGACGTCACGGTTGATGGTGAATGTAAGTGTATCTATCCCAATCTGGCCAGAGATGTCAGCTTGATGAATTCAAATAATTCAGCCAATGTGCTATTAGCAACTTCAAAATGAAGATGGATATGGAGTTAAACACGTGTCATGAAATGCAATGAGGTAAAGATAGGATTGTTCTGAAGCCTTCAGTGATTCACTTTGTTTAATGTCCGTCTCTTGGGTCAACGGAGATGTGTGCGAGTCGAACTCGAGTCACTTCACGATAGTGAACCTGAAGTGATTGTCCTCTCCGTCCTTGGGTTACGTCCCTCTAGCTGATATATAGCTGCTTAGCTCCCCACCTGCCAGGTGAGGGTTGTTAGATTTTATCACAGTTGTTCTCCTCCTCCTCCTCCTCCTCCTCGGCTAGCTATCCTCCTGCTCCTCCTGCTCCTCCTCCGCCAGCATCTCCTCCACCACCTCTGCCTCCACTTCCACGTCAATGTGCACCGCTGGACCTCAACCTGGGACTTTCCCAGCTCAGTGGGCACCGCTGGACCTCAACCTGGGACCTTCCCAGCTCAGTGGGCACCGGTGTGCACCGCTGGACCTCAACGGCCAGATAGAATGCCAGAAGATTTGCCAGATAGAGTGCCAGAAGATATGCCAGATAGAATGTTAGAAGATATGCCAGATAGAATGCCAGAAGGTATGCCAGATAGAATGTTAGAAGATATGCCAGATAGAATGCCAGAAGGTATGCCAGATAGAATGGTAGAAGATATGCCAGATAGAATGCCAGAAGGTATGCCAGATAAAGTGCCAGAATGTTTGCCAGATAGAATGCCAGAAGATTTGCCAGATAGAGTGCCAGAAGATATGCCAGAAGATATGCCAGATATAATGCCAGAAGATATGTCAGATAGAATGCCAGAAGATTTGCCAGTAACAAAATGTATAAATGCCATGGTGGGGATCACACGAAGTAAAGTAATTTAAACATTGTTTTTCTCGGGGGGTCATAGAGCTGATCACAGTCTAGCTGATATATGATATAGCTGCTTAGTTGATGCAGATGCTTATGTTATGTGATAAAACTTTCATTTTTGTTGAACTGAATGTGGCTGATTCATAGTCAATGTTCAACAAGACTAGGTGCATAGAGCCCTGATCAGCCCAGCAAAAACATCAGCAACTCCTGGGAGGCCGGCCCCCAAGTCCAGTTTGTTTGCAAAGTTGGTTTTATTGCTTCAATAACTATAATAAACTATAATATAATATTTAAACATATTTAATATAAAATATAATATTATTAAATATAACATAATATAATATAATGTAAAATGTTTTAATATATAATATAATATATAATTTAATTTATAATATAGTATATACTATTTTAATCAATGTAATATATGATATAATATTATATTTACTATAATATATCATATAATATATGATATGATTTAATATATACTATAATTTATCATACAATATATGGTTTAATATATAATATAATATAATTTAATATAATATAACATAACGTAATATAGAAGAATAAATTCAGGAGTTACCACCGATTTACTGCTGTACCAATTTTGGTAGTATCATGCCTGCAGTGTAGTGTCACCAATTTGCCCACTTGGACTGAAACATGAACAGAATTCATGATCCATTTGGTGTGATGGCCTTTTCCTGGCTCCGCCATGCATGAGTGAGCATTAATGACATATGCAAGCCCTTAACCTTTTGCAAGAACTAATATCATAAATATGATTGTTCGAGGAAACCATTTTGCATGCACTGAGTTGAGACATGTCCCATGTCATAGCCAGCACTGCCAGCGGGTCCGTGTAAAACTTATCCGTCGACTCGGACTTTGGCTCAAGTGCGCCCGTGGTAAAAAGGCAACCGTGCCGCAGCCATAGCTCTTGCATTTTTCTTGGGTGTGGGCGTCCAATCCATCTTTCTCGTAATTTAATTTAATATGATATAATATAAAATAATATAATTTATTATGTATAATATAATATAATAAAATATAATATAGTTTAATTTAATATATAATGGAATACAATATAATATATTATTTAATATAATACAATCTTTAATAAAATATAATATTTAACATAATATAATATGTAACATAATAATGTTTAATATCACATATTATTTAATATAACATAATATAATATATAATATTATATATAATATATAATATAACTAAAAAATAATATAATATGATATGTTTATATAATCCAATATTTAATGTAATATAATTTAATTTAATTTAATATAATATGATATATTATCATAAAATATAGTTTTATTTGATTTAATATATATAATAAAATAAAATAGAAAATAATATTTAATATAATATGTTATAATTTAATATGGTATAATTTAATATTTTATGTAATATATAAGTTAATTCAACATAATATATAATATAATTTAAAGTAATAAAATATAATATAATAAAATAAAATATAATATAAAGTAATATAACATAAGATAATATAATATAATTTGGTTTAATATAATATAAAATATTGAAATTTAATATAATATACTATATAATATAATATATAATATAATATATAATATAAAATAGCATGAAATAATATAATTTAATATTAGGTATGAATGGGGGTTATCAACCAACAAACACAACTGGGCAGCACCACTCTGTGAGCATCCCACATATCCAGTGCTTCAAGACTTGGATTTATCAGATGAGAATGGTTGACACATGGGAGTTTCCTTAAATCAGGGACCGTTTGAAAGCATCCAAGTTATGGAATATATGTAGTAAACTTATACAAATGATGAACAGGGTTCCTGTAGTACTTTTTTGATACCCCCAACCAACCCCCAGAAAAATCACCTCAAATGACCTTAAGATTACTAGAGATGGGAAAGCATGGAAAAACAGGTGAAGAAATCCCAAAGAGTGGCTCTTGATTCCTGTATGAAATAGCTATGTTCTCCAGCCCCAGAAATTCCCTAGGCACTGAAAAAAAAATAGAGGAAAACCATGGAAAACCAGAGAATTTTGTGGCAACAAAAAACATGTTTTGTTTTGGCAAAAAATCCATCGAGGTCGGCTCGGTCGGATTTGGATGATCTCAACTGAGAATTCCAAGCTGATCCCGGCCTATCTTGATAAGGCAAGGCGATCTGACGGCTGGGATACGATGTTCTACCGGCTGACTGTATATATCATATATTCATATCATTTTATATTATTCATCATTATGTATACATATATAGTAAAAATATATATAATTATGTATATTTGTATAATAGTATACAATTCAATTACATATATATATATATATACTTGTATAAAGTATACATATATATATAATACATATATATATATATATAGAAAACATATGTATATATATATATGTATTCACAACCAGGCGGGATCCCATTGGGCAAGGACGGTGATCCCAACTTGACTATTTTGCGATCAGCGGCCAGTTTCGTGGAAGAAGAACCACGCTATCAATCAATGAGACTTATCATGTGTATAATTTGTATGTACATAGAATGCAGAAATATACTGCATATATTTAAAGAATATACATATAATTACATTTGTATGTATATATTTATATATATTGTATGTACGAATATATATATATGCGTATATATATATATGTATTTACATATATATTACATATAGATATATATATATATTACATATATATATATACACATGTGTATGTATATACATATATATATATATGTATGTATATACATATATATATACACATGTGTATGTATATATATATATATATATGTGTGTATGTATATATATATCATGACTTGTTCGGTGAAATCCATGTTTATATCGGGCAGGACCCCATATTGTCCATGTATGCCTATTTTCATGACTCCAAATGTGCGGAACTTACTGACCGGACTGTAGGTCAATATAGCATGAACAGAACATATGGGGATAATTTTGATAACTTACTTGCCAGAATTTGCAGAAACCTGATATCTATTTTTTTTAGTGGAACAAAAATCATATTGTTTCCTGTAGAGGGTCCCGAAAAAAAATGTATTCCATTGATCTTGTTAGCGTGGTGCCATAGAAATGTTTTTTGCTTTCTGTTACCCTCCGAGCCAACAGTTCTTCTTGGAGTTCTGCATCTACGGAAATTGTCTGCCAAGACCATCCAAGACTGTGGCATCTTGAAAGATGCGCAGGCCATCAACAACTTTATCAATGAGAACCCAGCCAGTGGCTTTCAGATGTTCACTTCGGCAGGCATCTTGCTGAGACAAGGGCGACGGAAGCTCATCTTTTCCGGCCTCGAAACATCCATGTTTCCATATGCGCCGAGTAACTTTCTGGTCCATTATGTTTTTATACCTGGTACAATTATACATAAATATATCGTTTAATCCCCAAAAAATAATATATCCACAATATTCCCATTCTTCGTATCTTATTATATCCCTATACGTCCCTGTATATCCCTATTATATTATCATATATATTACATAGTTCTTATAATGTTCTTATAAAGTATGCATGATATTCCCGTTAAAAAAATGTTGCTTCTTCGTTGTTGCTTGCGTTGTCGCAGGCGGAGACACTCCATGGCCTTTTGCAACGGATCCATGACTTCTTGGGCGAAGAGCGAGTTTCTCGGTGGTTTTTTCTGTGGAAAGCTGCTGATTTCACCCAAATATGGTGACTTCAACAAACACGGGAGGGTTGATGGGGATATGATGGGGATATGATGGAGATATGATGGATAATTAAATTTGGATGAATCATGTTGTGACCTCACGTCGTGCACTGGAATGATGGTGAGTGTAAGGGGAATCATCCCGAAATGAAGCCCTATTGCAGCTATTGTCAGGTGAGTGAAAGATTGTAATTGGGGGATGATCATCAATCCATTTACCGAGATTTATGATGGCCATTCGTCCAGGATTCCCATGAAACAAGAAAACTATTCCCATGATGGGATGGATGACCATAAACCATTTCTCATCTTTGTTGCTTAGATATATATATATAGACATGTATTAGTATATTATATATATAGTATATATTATATATATAGTATATATTATATATAGTATATATTATATATAGTATATGGTAAATATAGTATATATTATATATAGTATATATTATATATAGTATATATTATATATTGTATATATTATATATAGTATATATTATATATAGCATATATTAATATATATATAGTATATATTATATATAGTATATACTATATATATAGTATGTATTGTATATAGTATATATTATATATACTATTTATTATATATAGTATTTATATTATATATATAGTATATATAGTATATACTTTAGTGTAAATATATAGTATATATTCTATATATAGTATATTATATATATAGATAGATATACCAATGATATTCTCATTCTATTCCCACGATATTCCGTAACTTGCCCCGCAAATGACTTGCTCGTGGCATCCGTTAGGATGCGAGACATCCTGCAGTGGAGAACTTCCTAGATGAGGTGATCAGCCAGCATCTCGCCGTTGATCATTTCCGGAAAGGCGATATTTTTCCATTGTTTTTTGTGTTTCTTGGAGCGTAGACTCCGTAGACTCCGTAGACCAAGCCAAAAAAATGCGAGGGGCGCTGAGAGACTTCAACAAGTACAATGTGGGTATTTCACCTGGGTATGTCCACCAGGTATTGGAAATGAAGTGTGAACATTAGTAGTATTAGTAAGGGATAAACTTCCAATGGTTCCAAGCTGTTCAGCCTTTCACCATTGCTCCTCGTATGGGTTTCTCGGAAAATTTGCTATTTGTTTTATTGTTTTATCCTTTTCCATATTGAGTTGACCATGTTTTATATTTTGTTCTTACCAAAGTTTGGATAAAACCAAACAAGGGGCGGAACTTTGCGACCTGCCGATGCTGCGGTGTTTTGTTTGGAAGGTCTAGGCCAGTTGTGATACGGAGTCCGAGATTTACATATTAGCTCACGCGAGCATGCGAACCCAGGGAGGCACTGGGTTCGGATGGTTTCAGGTATGTTTGATTGAAAATAAGTCCTCCAAATTTGTCATTGAATATTGAATATAATGTAGGTGACATTTAAATGAAACTATATAAATGGGATGAACACCGTGAACATGATTATACCACCATTACCATAAGTATTTGATTTCTCCAAACTTGTAAATCTGGGATGATCTTGGAATTCACCCAGTCATGAAATGGGTTTGTCTGAAAATAGGGAATCCCTAAATCCATTGGTTAATCATTGTTTCCTCTATTAAGAGAGCCATGGTCGGTGTATACCCCCAAATTTCAGCTGGGATTATATATATATATACATATATATATGCATACATGCATGTATATGATTCATATGATATAAATATAATAATATATATATATATATGTATAATCTTGAAAAACGTGATCTTTTAAATTCTCCCAAACATATTTCTATGTCAACCTCAGCCCATCTCCTGCCCGAGGACCAGAGACTGGAACTCACAGGTGGAGAATCTGACGAGGCAACGCGGCGCCAAGGACAAAGATCCACGAGGCGTTGCCGCTTCCGAGGCAGGGCCTGGTTGGATGATACCTGAGAACTGGGGGTAGCCCCATGGAAAGCTCCATATTTAAGGGTTGGTCTGGAACAAAAATGCGTACTATGTGGCGATAAATTGGTATGTTATATCATATATATATATAGTGATTTATGATTTCCTATCAAGCAATAATCCTGCAAAGGTTCCAACTCATGATTGTTCGTAAGTAGACTATATACGGTATGATTTTTCGCATCCCAGCGCCAGTCATCAGTCCAACTAGTCCCAAGTGCCGGGATTTATATATATATAGAATATTTTAGGATATACATATATATATATATATATACATATATCTATATATTATATATATATAGAGGATATATCCTTCATTGGTATTTTGGTCGTTTGGGGTTTCCCCGAGTTTTCAGAGGCTGGAAAATCCCATCAGATTCTGGGTGAAAGGCCCCAGAAAGAAATGGCTATGAGTCAAAAGCCTGGTAGCCAAATGTGAACCCAAAGTTATAGCTGGTAAATGGATGTTCATCTTACCAAATACAGTATTGCAATATTGTTTTGATACATCCCCTTTTAAGTATACTATATATATATATATCATTGTTTTATAGCCCTATTAGTCATCATATGAGTCACGATAGTTTCATAGCCCTGATCTAAGGTGATCTAAGTTGAATGAATCGCTTCAGAACCCTCGATATGTTCCCAGTCATCCAGGCTGAGTTGGACCACGAGCTCCGAAACTTGTTCCAGGACGAGGTGCGGGCCCCACGAGGATCCGTGATTTATAGTTCATCCCATATAGGGAGGTTTCCATAAATGGGGATACCCCAATAGCTGGATGGTTTATAATAGAAATTCCTATGAACATTGATGATATCTGGGGGTAGCCCTATTTTAGGAAACCTCCATATAGGGGATACGCCATTCGTCTGAGAGTATAACTTGTAGCCATTTACTGGGATGCACCCTCTGGTAATTTGTTACATACTACCACTAGGCTTAAGTCGTATCAATCGACCTGAAGTCGTATCACACCTGCGTGCGCGCAGTGTTTCGTATAGATTTTGATAGTTCTTTATTTGATGGGTTATTGATTCGAACACTTTTTCATCGCTGTGCGCAATGTTTTGTTGACATGATTCTATTTGACCCTACTAGCCCTAGCGTTAAGTCGTATCAGCTCGTAGAAGTTGTATCGGGAGGCCGTGCGCCTGGAAAAAGTTCAAGTTTGGCATCACCACAACTTTTAGTAATTGGACGATTTCATTGTTTTGGGGCCGTGCGCCTAGAAAAAGTTCAATTTTTGTATTGCGTTGATTTATAAAACTTATATTATATTTCATTATTCTTTCAACGGGGCAAACGCTGGTTGCTGCTGCTTGTCTGCTTGCTTTCTTGCTGCTGCTTGCTGCTGCCTCCTGCTGCTGCTGCTTGCTGCTGCTGTTGCTCCTGTTGCTGCTGCTGCCTCCTGCTGCTGCTGCTGTTGCTGCTGCTGCTGCTGTTGCTGCTGCCTCCTGCTGCTGTTGCTGCTGCCTCCTGCTGCTGCTGCGGCTGCGGCTTCCTTCTGCTGCTGCTGCTGCCTCCTGCTGCTGCCTCCTGCTGCTGCCTCCTGCTGCTGCCTCCTGCTGCTGCCTCCTGCTGCTGCTGCTGCTGCTGCTGCTGCTGCTGCTTCCGCTGCTGCTGCTGCTGCTGCTTCCTCCTGCTGCTGCTGCTGCTGCCTCCTGCTGCTGCTGCTGCTGCCTCCTGCTGCTGCTGCCTCCTGCTGCTGCCTCCTGCTGCTGCTGCTGCCTCCTGCTGCTGCTGCTCCTCCTGCTGCTGCTTCCTCCTCCTCCTCCTGCTGCTGCTGCTTCCTCCTGCTGCTGCTGCTGCTGCTGCTGCTGCTGCTGCCTCCGGCTGCTGCTGCTTCCTCCTCCTCCTGCTGCTGCTTCCTCCTCCTCCTCCTGCTGCTGCTGCTGCTTCCTCCTGCTGCTGCTGCCGCTGGTGCAAACATTTTGCCGAAAAAGAAAATTACAGTCTCGGTCGCCTTGTTTGGCGCTGGCGGGAGATACGGGCGGGAGACGCCAGCAGAGAGAGGGAATGTTTACAGAAGGCAGAACTTATGAAACATTCAAGCGGAAGCGGATGTTGACAGCGGTGTGCCACTGGGTTTTCAGATTTTAACGTTGTTGATGTGATGATGTTGCCCATAGCTATTACATGGAAATCTATGTTTGTTAGATTTTGTTAGGACGCAAAGTTAAAGATCTGGGAGGCCGTGTGCCATGGTGATTCCTAAATATATCCTTTGAAAACATAGTTTAAACATATGTGAATACCTCAGTGCGCGCAATGTTTTCTTCATTTTTGGAGATATAACAACATTCCTTGAAAGCCGGTGTGCCATTGGGATTTTGATATTTTGATGTGATTTTTTCCCAGTTGATGTGACTTTCTTCCAACTCGCTGTTACATGGGGTTGATGTGACTTCTGCCCAACTGATGTGACTTAAACCCTTCGCTAGTAGCTTTGGAAAATGGCCCGTGGAAATAGTTGATTTACCTATTATAAATGGTGATTGTCCATAGCTATGTTGGTTTACCAGAGAGTATCCCATGTTTATATAAATAGTTTAGCAACATTTAGTAACCAGTGTCGCTGCAGAACCAAGATATGTTTGCATAGCATCCAGCGTTATCACACAATGCCAATGGTTCAGCGCCAAAATTTAGTTAATGATAGATGAATGATGTTTGTTGATATGCCATCAAATCCCGTTGTATTCCTATAAAACAGTTGGTTTGATACCCTCAGAGAATTTAATGTCCTACTATTTCTTGGTTAAATCATGACAAATCCCCATTGATACCCATGTTACATCGCACTTATCCCAGCATATCCCCATGATATACCCTGAAAATCCCTGGCCAAATTAATGATTCATTTTGCCCCCCATAGCTGTGATAATCCACAATGAACAGTGGATGTGAAATGAGTGATTGACAGCAGCAGACCTCAAGGTGCTTCAGCGTTCTTCAGATCATTGTCGTTCTTTGCGATCCGTCTGTGTTCATTGTGATGTGAAATTCATTTTGTGGTGTTGAGGTGACTATGTTTTAATTTTGATTGGGTTTCAAGTCTATTGATTTTGTGGGTTTGGACTATAATTGTAACTATGACATGACTAAGACACCAAGATTGCAACCAAGTCATTCACTGAAACTGAGAGCTGCAGTGAGTGAGGCCATACACAGGCAAACGCCTGCCAAACGCACACAGGATCATTGCAATTTGACGGTGATTTGTAAAGTTCTAAGCGTTTTTCGGGATTCCGGCAGCGGGTTCCGTTCCGATGATCCGAAGTTGCTTGGTTGCTGCTGGTCAGATCTCCTTGGAGCAGAGCCTGCCATATAAAGTGACCAGCAAGTCAAGTCTTTGGGCTAAATCATCTTAATCTGTCTATCCCTTCAAACATGTAATTTTCACATATTTTCACTGCACTTCGTATTGTTTCATTGTGCAAGTTGACCACTCTTACCACGCTTCGTCGAGTGCAGATGCACCACGCTTCGTGGCGTCCCGGTGTCTCGCTGAAAGCCGCCTTGGAAGATCTTGGAAGCCGCCGGCCAGACCCGTTCTGAAGCCCGTAGTGATTTTCTGGGATATCCATGGTGCCCCCAAGTTATGTTTGTTGGTTTTATGTAATCCCCATGAACTAGTTCGATATATTTACTATAAAACCAAAAAAACAACAGTTATTGAACTTATGTTTGCCTAACTAAGTTGTATGTTTGTATACTTGGTAATTAGTGCATACTATAACTTACCATATCCCTATGAAATATTCATGACCTTCGCATAAAGCATGATACAATATTACATTACTCTAAGGGAGTGTAAACTACAGAATATATATTTGTTTATATCCCACAAAAAATAATGAATGTTTTAGTATCCTAGTAAATATGTCCATTGTAAAGTGGTATTAGTACATTTTATACCTGCTGTATATATATAATATAGCATAATACAATATGATATATAATGTAATAAAATATAATAAAATAAAATATAATATAATATAATATAATGCAATACAATATAATATAATTAATATATTTAATATAACATATAATTATAATTATATATATATATTATGATAAATAAATAAATATATCTAATTATATGTATACATATATCTTAATACATCTCATTTCATCCCTATAAAGTGTTCCCATCAAAATCGTTGGTCCAGCCCCGGTCAAAACCATAGGCCGAGTCGTCCGTCACCATGGCGCCGGACGACGACAAGTCTTCCAGCACGGCCCATATCTCGCTGCGACCGGGCCCAGAGCGGCCGCGTTCCTCGGCGGTATAGGGAGATATAGCCTATAGCTGATTTATGACTGTCCTTCTCCCATCATCGGAGTTGCGAGCTCACTAATTACAGAATATTAACAAAAAAACATGCTAATTTATGACTTCAATAGGGATTCAAAACTTTGATTTCAAGCTTGATTCAATGTGAATTGTTCAATGAAATTAAGCAACGAAAATGGTGATTCTTCATAGGATTTATAGCTGATTTATGATACAGTAAGTTGGTTATGAAAGCTTCAATTACTAGGATATATGGTAGATAGAATCATCTATATAGGGATAGCAACCAACTTATAACTAGGGGTCACCACATCGTATCTAGATAATAATGGAGGTATAGTCATCCTTGAGTACTTAGAATATGCATGCTTCATGCTGTTTCAATGGTTTCCAGCTTTAACTCATGATTTGAAAGTAGGGACCCAAAAAAATTGACGGTTTCTGTTCATGTTCCGCATTCAACCAGCTTGTTGCTTGAGTTTCCCCATTTGATCTTTCCCATGCCACAGGGTGGCACACCGCAGTTGTGTCTGTTGGTTTATAACCCCCATTAACTAACCTAGTTACAAACAAAAATTGGTGTTCCCCAACAAAGTGAGGAACTGGTGCCCCAGTTTAGAATCGCTAAGTTGGTTTATCATGGTTTATCAATGTTTATCACATCAATAACATCCAATAACTAGGGTTTATAGTATATAGGTAGTAGTAGATATATAGAACTAGTTGATGGGGGTTATGAACCAACAAAAAGAACTGGGGAGCATCACGTTGTGTGTGGTCGGGAGCTGTTCAGAGCGAGGGTATCCAGTTCCCAATAAAAAATGGGGAGCTAAGGAGCTACGAATTGAGTTTCCAAACCACATGTCACATGATAGACAACATGGGTTTGGTACCTTAAAATGTTGGAAAACCTCTTGCAACTGCTGCAACCACCCAAATTCGACCGAATTCTTCTAACATATATTTCCCCGTTTCCCGTTTTCAAAAAGGTGGTATATAACCGGTATACCCCGTTTTCAGATACATCCACATCCAGTGTTTTCGTAAGCGGGGCTGCTGGCTTGGACCAATCCCATCGTTTTCGTGAAATCCCAATGTGTGAGTTATTTGCCCGCTATATTTTTTAAGTTGTTTCTATTACCATGTTGGCGAAATTACATGAAATTACTATCATTTACTACTAAATGATATATATATATACGTATGTATATATATATATATACGCGCATATATATTTACATCACGAAATATAATATATATATATATATGTTTGATCCATGCGTCGCTACCTTTAAATCTTTTGCCAACAAGGAAAGAAGGAACAATGGCCAGACAGTATGCTAAACCCAGCTGTGCTCATGGCTAGGAAGAAACAGCATGTTGTTGGGTAGAGATCAAGTTGTTTGTTGGCTGATTGCCAAATCAAAATTCCAGTTTTCGAATTCCGATTCTCTAATTCGATTATTTTACTTAGATCAGATCCACATCTCATGTGTCGTCCCGAGAAATTGCACCCTGTGGTGGTGATCGATATCGATATCCCAGTTACAAGGTGCCCAATAGTTAGCTCGCTTCTAGATATACCATAACCGCCATTAATTGTAGATGTACCATCATTAACCATGAATTATAGATATACCACCATTAATTGTAGATATATCAATTAATTATAGATTCACTGATATACTTAATAAACATAACTCCAGTAACTAAGCTCTACATCTTCATAATTCACCATTTTTAGATATACCACACCATTAATTATAGATCTACCACCATTAATTATAATTATAGATATACCTCCATTAAATTAATTAAAGATATACCGATATACCACCATTAAATGTAGATATACCTCCATTAATTCTAGATATACCACCATGAATTATAGATATACCACCATTAATTGTAGATATATCAACTAATTATTGATATACTTATATACTTAATAAACATAACTCCAGTAACTAAGCTCTATATCTTCATGATTAATGGTGGTTATTAACCAAGAAACATAGCTGGGCGGCAAAAGGCACCAGCTTTTTTCATCGAAATGTCCCAGGTGTCAAGCTCCCTTTCAACCGAATTGACTTTCAAAGCAGGACACAGGTGGGGGCTTAGTGGTTGATATCAACAAATCACAAGCATTGCCAGTGATGTTGCTTCAATGATATACCAAAGGAGACAGAAGAAGTTGACAACTTAGATACTATGAAGGACATATGAGTTGTAAAGAACCCACATTCACAAGCAAGCTTCAAACCTTGGAAATGACGCATTGCCATATATTCCGCCCCTAAGGAGTAGATATCTGGCCAAAAATGAAATTTCATAGGCTTCATAGGCTCATCCCATGGAACATCTACCTTTACGATCCGTTGAAGACATTGATCATTGAGAAGTTCGGTCAAATTGCTATATAAGCTCCCAAAAATATCGCCAACAAATCATTCAGAAACGAAGAACTACCCCCAAGCACATCAAGAAACATCAAGAAACATCAAGAAACATCAAGAAACACTGGATTCTTGGAAACCAGACATGAAATTTATAGGTCCATTGAGTCCATTGCTGCCCCCATTGGTCGCCGACCTGGCCAGCCTGCACCTTCTCGTTACCCTGATCTTGATTGGCACCGATAGCCAGGCGCAGTCGCGTGGTTTCTTAAGTCATGGATCCCCAAGTCACCATGGTTTCAATACTAAAATGATTTAAAATGATCTAAAATTATCTATACAAAACAATCTAATTTGGATTTAGGAGGTACTTTCATTTTAGGAAACCTCCATGTAGTATATAGCAGATAACAGATCTGGTTGTGGTTCGAAATGATTGCAATTGATACTCCCAGTCCCAATCATTGCAGAGATTTAGGATGATGGTCCCAATAGACCTCACTCAATAGGTGAAAAGCAAACCGGGGATTATTTTTGGCACTTTATAATCATAAAAGGAATTTACAATCATCCGGCAAGAAGGATTCGGAAAAATCTTGATGTGCAACCCCCTCTCTTCGCAATGAGAATTTGATTCCTTTCCCGCCACAGGGTCAGTTTGCGCTGCTGCCAGTGAATAACACGGCATATCCAAACTATCCAAACTTACGCGATTTAAATGTAGTCAATATTTATCAAGATTTATAATAATCAATATCTTTGTAATTTGAAATACTGTAATTTCAGATCAATACGTTGGTAGATCTAGTTTCTCGCTCCTGTTATGCGGGAGCACAGTACCTGCTGTTATGCAGGGCTGGAGATTGCTAAATGCATTGTAGCATGTTGTAGCGATGACAAGAAAATTAATTGCAGCTATGCTGGAATAGGGGACCACCACCTTACCGACACCCTATTTTTACACACAGCATGGAAGTACAATTGATAGGGGACCATCCACTTTCGCCATGTCTATTGCGAATAGTAAATAATTTTGTCTGTCATTCAAATACTTATATAGCATGTTCCTTCGATACGGTTTGGCGTTCGGAACGCGCGTTTCAAAACCTCGCGTTCCGGAACGCGCGTTCTGAGTGGATCCTTTTTCCAATGATCCAAAATTAATTTATTTCCTGGGCCTGGACACTGAAACCTTTTCTCCCCAAAGAAAAGGATTTTGAGAGCTCTTATGGGCTCAAAATGGTGGATAAAGCCACCAGAAAGTTGATCTTCCTAACTCCGGATCCTTTTTTGGCTGAAGCAAGAAAGGTTCTGGCCTCACCAAGTGTAGGACAAATTAGATTTCCTTCCTGGATCGTTTTTTCTCTGAAAGAAAAAGGTTTTGGTTTTATTTTATCGTAATATAATTTAGGTTTTGAATAATAATTGAAAAATTATAGAGAATATAATAATTTGTTTTAAAAAATAAAAAATTAGAAATTTTTGGAATTAAATATAATATACCCGGTTAATGA